CAAGGGGCCGGTAAGCATGGCGATGATGTTGTCATTAATCCTGGGTAGTGAATTGTGCCCTTGCCTTTCACCTGAATATATATCTACATCTAAACAGACACAGTGAGGGAACCTCGCTCCCCCCCAGAGGCCACAGAAGGTGCCCTAAAGGGTTAATGTAGGTAGGAAGACATGATGAATGCTGCTGACTCTGATTTTATCTGTCAAATAGAAATGTTGCTGCTTGTTTTGATCTTTATTCAACATCATCCTCAACGCTGGAAGAAAGTTATGATACATGAATCGAACAGTGGCTACCAAAGCCTGATAGTACCATACTCTCATTGTCACTTTATTAGTATTTAATCTTTTTTTTTTCAAATCTAGACTGATTATCTACAAGGGGTTAAATCCAGAATGTTTGAGTTGACTTGCTTCATCAGAGAGCTGCAGTCAGAATTGAAGGAGACTCACCTTCCTGGAACTTTAGGACGTCTGCAGCAGTAAACGTTCCTGTGCGCTGTCTTTGTTTTTTGGACTGTGTTGCAGGTATCAATTTCTGGAGCAGTTCAGTCCTGTCATAACATTGAAATATGTGTTTTTGTCTCTGTGCCAGAGAAATCAAATCAAAGTGCTCTACAACATTACAGATCGTAGGTTTTATATCATTTTTAATGCAGTACAAACTCATCTGGAAATGGGCTCTGGCGGTGAACTGGTGGTGTGGAGGTGAAGTGATAATATGGAGGAAAACTGAATTGAACAAAAGAAAAACAACAACACAGATAATCCTTTTACAACAGAGGGACATAATGTGAACAATCTGCTGGACGAAATAAAAATCTAATTTATTCAGCGAGGCCTTCTCTCTCCTTTTGTGTCACTCTCCTCGTCTCCTTACCTCCCTCCCTCCCTCTCCCTCTCTCTCTCGTCCTCCTCTGTCTCTCTGAACATCTTTACTGGCCGCTGAAGCCACTGATGAATTCTTAAGCAGATCTGATAATTGTATTTCATAACTGTCAGTTGTGCAAAGGCTGCCAGTGTGCCCAGGAGCTATTTGTGTCTCAGTATGTCCTCCACACACCTTCCCTCCATCAGCCTTTCCACAACACTGTATCCAACTCCTCCACCCCCAATCACCGGGGACCAGCCTACAGTCTCCAGCCCCCTGAATTACTCAATCAGGAGGACACATTTACAGATGACACCTTTATTACAATTAATCAGGGAAACTTGATTAAGAAAGTTATTCCACCCCTTCATTTGGACTTACACACAAGTGGTGCTGCTGCATGTTGTAATTTATGTCCCACTGAGCTCCTGCGCCTCCTGATGGACAGAAACACCGACAGATTGCCAGCCATACAGAGACACGCGTCATCATGTCTGTGTGTGTGTGTGTGTGTGTTGAAACCCCCTCAGTCGCATGTACTGTATACATATTGCAAAGTACATGCACATCCTCATGCACATCTCAGGTTTGGGAGAGTTTAATAAATGACTTTAATTGGCTGTAGAGATGTGTTCACTAAAGGAGGTTTGGATATTCCTTTTCCCTTTCTTCTTGTCTCTCTCTTTCACTCTCACTGTCGTTAAAACACACACACACACACACGCACACACACACATAGCTGAATGAAGCCATCTCTTTACCTTTACTCACAGTTCCTGGGTCTGCTGTGGCTAATTAGTTGAGTAGGGTTTTAGGTTTGGTAATTAGATGGAGGTAGGAGTGACAGGGGCTCAGGGAGTTGGGGAGTTGAGGGGGTCTGACTGACTTGTAGAGAAAGAAACTGGACTGTCTGCATCCTGGCAGCACCAAACAGCCAGCCAGTGTCCCTTAGGCGCCTGGAGGTAGAATACCATCCCACACTATGAGGGTGATGTCTTTGTTATGTGCCACATGTTCCAGCACAGGGAAACTGTGTGAGAAAAGAGGGTTTAGTGAATGGAAAAAGCAGAGAAAGAGACACCTTTGAGATTTCTTTGCACCGAATGTCAACATGCAACAATGAAGACCAGGCTCTTTGCTGTTTTCCTGGACGTTCATTGGAAACAGTGTAGAGAACTACAATGAAGCAGAGTGCTTAGCAGTGACCGATGTGTCCATAAATGATAATTATGGGTCAGTGATAAATGCCAATTGTGAAACAGTGATGCAGACACATCAGCAAACTCACGGAGCAGAGTTACGATGCCATTTCTGTTCTAAGTTTGTTGACATCAGCCACCGTTGGATAAATGAGCCGCAGCCTAAAATAGTTTATGGAGCCTTTAGAAGAATCTCTTTTGTTTTCACCTAAGTTAAACTAAATACGTCACTAGTTAACCACAGTGAGTAACCTCTGTAACCTTTTATTGTTTTAACTTTGCTAATATGAAAAGCTATCATTTTACAAATGTTTTTTTAAATTTATTTAAGCAATACAATGACACAAGGTGAAAGTGCTCTTGCCTTACAGCAAAGGTCAAACTCAAGGCACGTGGACCAAATGTGGCCCAGGAAGTCATTTTTTGTGGCCTGCAGGAGCTTAAAAACACTTAAGTGTCTTATAATGAAGTCTATGCTGCTTCAGAGCATATATTTACTTAAAATATAACTGCAACAATGCATTTAATGTTGACTCATGTAGTTCTGAACTGAGATATCTGTTGTCTGATTTTTTTTTATTTACTTGGGTTTGAAAGTTTGATTTGAAAGTGAGTTTATTAACCTGATAAATTATTTTTTGCAATGTACGATATTTGTAACTTATAAATAATTATAGGTTGCTGAAACATTTATTGATACATAATTAAGTAGTTATTACATTTGTGTTAACACATTTTTTCAAGATTCAAGATTCATTAAATAACTAACTAAGTGTTCAATGAAAGGAGCTGGTTCATTTCAAATGGCTGTGTCAGGGAGCAAACTTTTTTTTGACAGCCCTACTGGCCAGCAGTGGTACTGTATCTAACCCGGATTGAATGTGCCTCTATTAACAGCCAATGTATTTTCAAGTAGCTGCAATTCATGTGAGTGGACAGGTGTCACTGACAGCTGAACCATCAGAAAGAAGAATTGAATTGAATTGAAAAATGTCTTTTTTTCCCTATTTTTTGATAGAAGCTCATTGACATTTAGCATCAGGTTACATTTTATTTAGACTTTACCTGTGTAAAACATTTGATCATTTATTTTGTAATTCTTTGTAAAAAATTACAAAAAAAGAAATCAAATATTAGAGACACTTGTCTCTGGTTGTCTGGTTTAGATTTCCTGTTTGGTTGTTAAACTAAAAAAAAACTCACCTTTTTTTCTCTATTTTAAAAAATTCACTTGTAAAATGATAATTGCACTAATTTGCCTTGCATTATTTACATATTTAAGGAGTGACATTTACCTGGTGGCTAAGGAGCGTGAAGTGCACTTGAATGCACTGACGATTCTCCCTTTGTACTGCAGTGAGAGCTATTTCTGCTGTTTCACTACAGTCTGTGAGGAATTCTCTGGGCCACGTCTACCTTCTTACATCTTGTTTACGCTGCAAAGTTCCAGGTTGCTTCAGTACGTTGCCAGTTAGCAGCCTCCGACTGCCACACAATCCAATTAAATAGAGTGTTGTCTTTCCAGGTTCCTGTGTTCTCTTAATTGGGACGGTGACTGCTCAATAATCAGTGGAGGTACAGGTAGGCCCTGGAGGACTCCAGACAGGGCCTCTCCTGTTAATTGAAGTGTTGCAAAAAGACGGCCTCTTCCTCACCGTGCACTCATGCATGATAGATTCATCCGTACACGTATGTGCACCTCAGCCTGTCTCACCTTTGGTGTAGCTGGCGTGTGAGAGCTTGTTATTGCAAACAGTGGTGACAGGGGAGTTTATTTTCAAATTTTAAAATAATTTGAACTGTTTTCAATTCTTACTCATCATCTACAACCCTTAACTTTTTAACAACTGAACAAAACTGAACAGAAGAAAAGTTTATTAATTACGAACTTTTTAAATGACAACTGAACAAACCTGAACAGAAGAAAAGTTTATTAATTACTATTTTAACTAAATATTGGATTATGTTTACAGTAGTTCACATTTAGAATGAAGAGAGCTGTTCTGACTTCCTCCACTGTGGCTCCTCGTGCTTGTGGACCGGTGTGTTTTTGATTTTCTGTGCCGGCTGGTGAAGGCAGCAGCTCTACATGCCTGAGAGAGGTCACGCCTGTAAAGTATCTCACACTGAGGCAGAGTTTCAGTGGCCACCTGGATAAAAAATGACTTAGTTACAGTGTGTTAGAACAACTTAGCTCCATGCCAGGTAGGAGAGGGTGACTGTTACAGACACACGCTTCTAAACTAAATGAATGTAACATGGGCAGTTTGAGCTCATACAGAGTAGTTTGTCATGTCAATATATGTATAACATGTTTGTTATACGCCACATATAATTTCATATATAATTTTAGGATTAGGATTTTTTTTATAACCAAAAACATTAAATTTTTTTCCCACAATTTTTTACTTCAAAATTAGTTACCAAGAGATCAGCTTTAATTTGTTAATTTTTGTCCTAGAAATTATACAAACAATAATAACAATAAAATAATATTTAACATTTCTTACATGCAGTATATAAAATATAACATATTTTGATATGTGTTTCTACTAAAAAACACAAAAATATGTCAGGGAACATTAAACTATGCATTTACTACAAAAGTGAAGTAACTGCATTTATTTGTCCGTCTCGTGCTTAGCTGGACATATTTTTTTTTTGTCTGTATTATTACAAGAGGCTTCGGGGCACGTGAATGAGGGAAGATTGATTGTGTGAATGCCAATTCCGTCAGCCACCAACAGGCAGAGGAAATTTCAAGCATACCTGCAGCAGCATTTACTTTTGACAGGAACATACTAATGTAAGGCACACACCCCATTAGGAAAACAGTGAAGTCTATCATGAAACATTTACAGGAGACAAAGTGACTCAACACGGCTAAAAGTAAGATCACAGCGGCTGTGGGCTTGAAAATGAGTCAAAACTGAGCCATTAAGTCATTTTATTGCACGGATGACAAAAAGATTCTCTTTAGTCTGATGGAAAAATTACAGTTCAATCTTTATTCCACTTCAACATCTCAAGACTATATATTATATAAATATATAAGACTCTAATTCACAGTGCATTTATTATTTGAGGTTATTTACTCTGGTAAATCATAGCTGACTACAGTTTGCTACTACTTACAGAGGGTGGTGCCACCTCCACCACCACTTTGCCCAGGTTTTTCCCAGCATACATATAGTCTACAGCACGGAAAACGGACTCCAGGCCAACAAACCTCCCTCCTTCTGCCAGATCGCCACAGTCCACCTCACACACCAGCCTCCCTTTGACAAACATCTGCATCATGTTCCCCAGAGCCTCCCTGTAGTCACTCATGAAGTGGGGCAGGAAAAAACCTCGCATGCTGGCTGACCTCTGCAGCAGCTTGACCGGGAGTGTGGCTCCTTTAAAATGTGGGATCCCCACTTGGGTCTGATAGCCTGAGATGAAGCCAATCACTATAAGTCTGCCTTTGTTGGCCAAATTGTTCACAGCGACTTCTAAGACACTGCCTCCGACTGACTCGTACACCACGTCGATGCCGTCTGGGTACTCTTTCCTCAGCGTCTTGGCCAAGTCCTCCGTGGTGTAGTTGATTGCCCGGTCGCAGTGTAGGGATTTCAGGAAGCCCGCTTTCTCGTCGGAGGAACAGGTCCCGATCACATGGCATCCCGCCTGTTTAGCAAACTGCACGGCAAACTGTCCGGTCCCTCCTGCTGCCGCCGTGACCAGAACGGTTTCACCTTTGGCCAGGTCGCCCAGGCGTTTCAGGGCGATGTAAGCTGTGGCGCCGCTGACCAGCAGGGTGAGGAACTCTGGCTTCACTGCAGGGACAGGAACACTTTCCTTGGCAGGCACTACTGTATACTCTGCAAATGCACCGTTGCAAAAATAGGCCACGGTGTCCCCAATGGTAAAACGGGAGCTGGCACTTAGGCCAAGGCCCACAACCTCGCCGATACCCTCGAAACCAGCATCGAACGGGGGCTTCCGTGAAGGGTCATAGCGGCCTGCTGAGTAATTAATGTCACTGGCGTTGACTCCCACAAAACTGAGGACAAGCAGAGAGAAGAGCAACAGTTGTAATTAAAAGTTAAAAATGAAAAGTCAAACTGCTCCTTCATGAATGGAGAATCAAATGCACACATGCACAGTATTCATGGCAGAACAACAAAGTCTTTTGTGTGGTTATTAACTTAAGCACATATTTTTCTTTGAGTTCCTGTATGAAGGTCAAGACTTGAGCTTCCTCTTGGAGACACGTCTGCACAGGGCATAAACACTGGGGTTTGTTTTGGCAATGATTCCTTTTTCCCTTGAAGAGAACAGTCCCGCTCTGACAGGGAAAGGCTTGTATCACAAAACACATTGCATGATGTCATGATTCATTGTCTTCACAGACACCCACAACAAACTGCACTTTTGAAAAAGAAAAAAACCTTAAAGAGCGGTGTCTTGTCTCAGCACGACGGCGGCTGTTCTCATCCGACTTTGGTAACATGTTGGAAACAAATGTGTGGGAAAGGAATGTATAAATAAATCATTTATCGTCGTTTAGAGCGGCACGCACGCTGCGCCTCATTACTGTGTGTTACATGTGTACTTTGAGCTTGTTGATAATGCATGTGTGCTTTATAGATGGGCCCTGATGACTTCACAAAATACCTTAATTTGACTGCCACCCTGGAGTCGGAATACTTCACTGTATCCACAGATATTACTTTTAAAAATGCAATTTATTCCTAGGAAATTGCAACAAACATTAGTAAAAGTTACAAGAAGTTTAAATAAGATTTATATATAAAAAAAAGTTTAAAAAAATCACTTGCTCCACTTACATTAGAATCCAAATTACACTATCAAATAAATGTGATTTGTTACAATAAAAACGTTTTTGTTTGGCCTTTTGAAAATGCATTTTAAAAACTGCTTAAAAAAATAATAAAAATGTGATAATTGTTTATAATAAAAAAAAGGAATTTGTTTCCAGAGCTGTCACAGCGATGTCACACGATATATGACGCAGTGCACATTAAGTTTAACTTTACGAGATATCGTCAAACATCTGTTTTTACTGACGTGTAAAATAAAAAAAAAGAAAGTAACCACAAAAAATTTACAATGACAATAAAAAAATCCTGTCGCGTCTTTATGGAAAACTCAGCTTCTTTGACTGTGACACTGATCTCTCAATTATCAAAATATTACTTTGGGATGTTACTGTCCTTGTTTATATTCCTTGGGCTTTGAGCTGGGTAAAATTGACTACATAAGCCTCAGTTTGTATAATGATTACACCAACAGATGTTTTTATTATCCCAGTTAGTTAAAAAAATAAGGTCAACGGTCATAGTTCACAAATAAATGATCCGACACTTAGATCATTTCCTGATGTAGCCTTGAACACTGGGACTGAATTAAATGTTGAATTCAGTTCAAGTGCTGGAAACAACGCAACATTTCTCTGGTTCTTTGAATCTGTGTGATGTTGAGGTGTTAAATGTCAGATTACCTTTCCGAGGTAAGAGTCTCACACCCCTGTGCTTTAGTTTTTAATGTAGACTGAGAGAAGTGGAAACGAACGCTGATTCTGTTTTTATTTTCTGAGTTTCTTTGACCCTTTTTTGACTCCAGGTGACTGTGAGTGAGTGAGTGATGCTGCAAAGCCCGTATCTGTGAGGCTCTGTATCTTCTTCATCTGTCGGTGCCAGTCTGAGTCCCTCCATGACTTTCTGTTTGTAGGTTGGTGACGTAGAGACAGGGAGGACAGGGGGAGAGAGAGGAGGGGAGCGAGAGAGAGAGATGGATTGATAGACAAATGCAGAGAGAGAGGGCGGAACTTGGAATTACAGTAGCGCTCTTATTCCTCACGTATTCTTGCCATCTTGTGATGATAATGAGGATGATGATGATAGTCGCAGACGCCGGGCACAGGTGAACCGAGGTAAGCCTAGATATATTTATTTACAACTTCTCAACAATAAACAGCGGCAGGCATATTCTTTTAGACATAAAATAAAGCATAAAAACACTGGTGTGACACCGTGTGCTTCATCTGCTGAACACGCAGCAGTAGCTCGTCGTGTCTACACACATATCCATTAAAAATAACAACAACGCAACTCACCGATTCCTGACGAGCAGCTCCTTGTCGCCGGGTGTCGGAACCGCGGCGTTCTGCACAGAAACGGCCTCTCTGAAATTATGGCTCAGCTTGGTGACGACCAGCTTTTTCATACTGCTCGGTATCGAGGTTCCCATGAAATCCATAAAGTGCACAGAGTAGGACTGATCTATGATTGAGCGCCGCGGCTGAACTCCTGCAAGTGCGACGGTGTCGGTACCTCTGCCCGTGCGCACCCCACCGATCACCGACACCGCTCTCCTACCGTTTCTCAGCAGCACCGGCAGCATGCTGGGAATATATGGCTCCCGATATGTGACAAAGTTCACGGACAACTTAAGGGACGTCCGTTGTAGCAGCGGGAGCTGCTGTTGTTAGCCTGCGCTAAAGGCTTCTCCGCTCCCTGCACGTGTACACAGCGTGCACTTGCAGGCCGAGGCGAACCGAAACACGCGCTTTGGAACCAAAATAAAAACATTAAAGCCACGTATTCTTCCGCTGCGTGGCTGCTAACATGCCGAATTGAGTATTTAGGTTGCAAAAGCGTTGCTCTGGCGCAACCCCTTCCGAGTAGCTACAGCAGCGACTTCGACTTGTCGCCGGAGTCCCTCCCCTTCCCGGACACTACACTCACTTCCTAGAAAGGTGAAACGAATCAATCCCAACCTTCTCCCACAAACACAGCGCGTCCAAAGCCGCTTTTCTTCCTCTGAATATCACAACAAACCATGTAGAATTATTTGCTTTGTATAAAACAAAAACAAAACAAAACCCAACTTATTAACAAATACGCAGCGTGATTTTATTGACTTATTTGACCGGATGTTTGCGCGTTTGCGCTGTAAATCAAAATTGTTTGGAAAAGTGTAGATCGTATTCCATACCTTTCAATCACCGCCACCATCATCATCATCATCTTCAACATCATTACTGTCTTCTACTGGAAGCATCCCGCATGTTTCCTGGGTTCCGCTGCTCCTACAGCACATGCTGGACCAGTGGACCCTCCTCTCTTACTCCCAGTGGGAATCAAACCTCTGACTGTCTTTAACTGCGAGTTGTTAAAACGCTTCCCCGCACTGAGACTTTCTACGATTTAGGACTTTTGTGTTTTTATAAACAATAGTTTTTACTTTAATCTCCAGATAAGTTCAGTAAAGGCGTCGCGTTTTTGTCGAAGGTTTTTTTTCTCACAAAAAAGCAAAAGCAGACAGAAAGACAGAGAGAAGGAGAGAGAGAGGGGAAGAGAGGGAGGGAGGGAGGAAAAACAAGACAATTAAAAAGATTGACAGGTAGGCTCCTCTGTCAGGGGTGACGCTCGTGGAGAGGGGAGGAGTAAAATGTAGCAGGAAAAGCCACTCGATGCGTCTGTCTATCAGTTGAGACTGTCTGAAACAGCTTCTGGATCCACCGCGTTCCCATTTTTCCTCCTCTTTTTCCGGAGACCTCGGATCAGTCCCTGGAGTTTTGCCCCCTCTTTGCTTTCCTAAAGAGACGAACATTTGATTCCGTGTCGATCTGATTTGTTGTTGGCGAAGCTTGGATGCGCCTGCGTCTTGTTTGTTTCCCCCCTCTCTCTCTCAAGTGATATCCTCTCCAACCGCATCAACCACCCCTTCCCAAAAAATCCCGACTCTGTCCAAGATGCGATGAGATGAGCAGCGGAAATCGTTTCCAACAGCGCTAAAACGTAAGTAAAGGAGAAAACGCCTGCTCGTCCCGTTTATTTATGAATTCAACATGAGAGAGAAGAAGGCAGTGAACGAGAGGAGGGAGGAAAAGTCTCCGTCGGACTGCTGAGGCTTGATCCGGGCTGAGGTGGCGTGGTAGTGACGGGACTGACATTAACCCATCTAATGCCTGTCTGTCTCTTCTCCCCTCTTCTCTCTTCCAGGTCCGCACGGAAAGAGCAAGAACCACGAGGATACCTTACTTCTCAGAGTTTGCTGTGCGACCACACTGGACTTATTTGTTTGCTTTATTTTTTTTCTTTAGTTTTTGGTGTGCGTAAAAGACGCAGCAAACTATCGTGCCCCGTTTCCCAAACAACACTGGAGAGCAGGGGGGGTTTTTCCACGGGGTGAACTGCAAACTTGAAGGTGCTGCCTCTGGTCATTTAATTTATTTATTTTTTTAAAAATAATATTATTATTACTATTATTTTGCCACGAGAAAAGATGAAGGAAGATGAGCTCTGATTGTCGTGAAGGTGTCAGGAGCTGGCCGAATGCCTTCGTAATTTCTGAGCCCATTCTCGCTGTAGCCGATCCAGCTATTAAACCAGCAGAAGAGCAGGCAATTTGAAGAGAAGACTGACATTTTCAGCTCCGAGATCAAAAATCCCTCTTCCCCCGACACGCGGGATGGTTTTCCACAACTGATACAGACTTGAATTGTTTGTAAATTCCTGCATGAGAAGCACCGTGGAACGTGACGGTCACTATGCCGAGGAGAAAGCAGCAAGAGCCGCGGCGATCAGCAGGTATAACCCGCCCCTCCGTTTACCATCATTTCCCATCACAGACACACACCATTCTCCACTTTTACGCACTTCTGTCAATTTTAACCACATCTTTCTACTTCTCACAATCCAGTTGTGTCATTTATTTTTCTCTTTAAATCCAGATTGTTGTGGTAACTGCGCACATTCACCTCCTGACCCACACTTGCGTCCAAATGTGTATTAATTGCGCAAATGACGCAGATATCTGCGCAATGCCATTAAGCGAGTCATTTTTAAGAGAAACATCCTTCTTTGCCAGGAAAGTTCTTTTTAGAACGGTGAGATAAACTAAATGGCATGTTATGGGGATAAAAGGGAGCTTTTGAGGTTCAAGAGTGAGTAATGATGAATAATTGACTGGGAAAGAAGGGGGAGAAAGTGGGGAGAGCTGGGTTTCTTTCCCCCCTTTTCTCTGTTTTATCAGAGGATTGCCATTCTTGATTTGATGCCTGATTGATCGCCTGTCATGTGGCAGTCTTTGATCTGTTCATCCCTGATAAACATCAATAAATCCCTCCATGAAGACAGCCATGTCTCTGGCTGGGTTTTCAGCGCACACACACACACACACACAAACCTGCTGTTTTTCTCAACCAGTTACCAGAGAGCAAATAAAGTTATGAATCATGTTGGAAAATCACCTCATTTAATTTTTTTTATGCAAATATGCCAAAAAACAGATGAAAGAAACGTGTGTGTGCTAAAGAGATCACGTTTATAAAAACCATCCAAAAACACTTGTTTCTTTTTTTTAAATCAGGTGCTAGAGTAGCATTTTGCGCTTTTTAACAGCAGAGTGATGAGTGTTTGAGAGGGTTTTTTTTTGTGCGTTTCCATCCAAATTTACCCCACATTCCCTGTAAGAATCAGTGGGTAATGGAATCAATATCCACTGCTGGAGGGTAGTCTAATATTTTCAATGTGACCAACTGATAAAACCAGGTGTTGGCAGAGAACCGACAAGGATGACTTCAAGTGGTTTGGATTTGGACTCCCCCCTTCCTGCTTTCGTCTCCTCGCAGCCTTTAAACAAATGTAAATGAGTGACAGGGGTTTCTACCTCTGTGCTAATGAGGCCGAGCCTTTGAAGTCAGGCATTAACAACTGGAGTGAACAAAAGACAGTTACAGAATTTTAAAGAGATTTTGAAATATGAGGTGCAAAGTTGGTCGAACAGGAGGGCCAGCCGACGGAGACTTTGAACTCAGCAGGTTTTTTATCATTTTAAGCAGGCAACTGGTGATGATAGGGTTGATGGTGATGAGGAGGAGGATGAGACGGAGTGTAGGATGAGGAACATTCAACTAGTGCTCGCTGCCAACTTCTTACGCTCTCCCCTTTAGACTCTCTGGCGCAGGAGGATCCACCTGACGTGTGTCCCACACTGGGAAGTTCATGTGGAGATTTTTAGGCTTGATGCTCTCATGTGGCGTGTGTGTGTATTCTGCCATATTAGTTGAACAGAGTAGAGTATTTTCTCCAACCCCCATGTTAATGGAGAAACATGGAAAATCTGCACAGATATGATTGACCATTATAGTCCAAGATGTGCAATAGATCAATAGTGTGTGTGTGTGTGTGTGTGTGTTTGCTTTGAGGGGGTCACAGAGATGTCATGTTTAATGCAATAGTCACCAGACAGTGGGTGAGAGAGGTTTATTCAAAAATTAGTAGTTCCTCTCTCTCCTTATAATTCCAACAGCTAAGGGGACTTTACACTTTTTTTAAAAAAATATTCCTACATTTTATTTAGGGAATTTTTTTGACATTTAAATTTATTTACATCTTTTAGTATAAAAACAATGTCTTACGGTACTTTTTTAAGGGCACCAAAAATTGTTAAAATTGTACAGTGTGTTTGGAATGGATCATAACAGTCGTTGTTAAAAATGAGTCAAATTATTTCTGCTACACCATATCCGTTTGCGGAAGCTTTTAAAACAATTACGTTCTTTTTAATTAGACATAATTCCAATTGATTTACTATTGTTGTTGTTATTTTATTGCATTAAAACAAAATTGATATTATTTTCTAATTCCAGTTCTAATTACGTTAAGTAGAGAATTATTGCCTCGGTTTTAAAGCGCGACTCGTGTGAGTTTAGTTCAGTGTAAATTCATAAAAAAAAAGCAGACATGGGAAAAGTGAGTTTTTTTTCTGATCAGGAGAAACGCGAGAAAATTTCGCTCGCAAATTCAAACATCAAAGTGTGTGTGTGTGTACGCATGTGTGTGTCTCAGAGAGAGAAAGACAGAGAGAGAGAGTGTGTGTGTGTGTGTGTGTGTGTGTGTGCAGTATCTTTGTGGACACACAGTTCACATTTATTCTCTTTTACACACGTGCCACTTGTAGCCTCACCTCCCAGTGAAACTGATCTGGTTTAGAGGCGATGAAGACGAGAGCCAGAGTTCACAGACAGAATGGAGCAAAGACGACTCTCGTCCAGGTTCAGGCTCAGAGTGTTAGAGGAAGGACAAGAAGAAGAAAAAGTGGAGATAAGATGGACTCGCTCTTATTTTGTGAAACACGACAGTTAATTACGAGAAACTGTGTATGTGTGTGTGTGTGTGTGCATATAGTGGGTGGGTTGGGTGGGTGGGTGGAAGGATGAGTGGAGGTTGCTTCCCGTTGGCTTCATTAGAGAGAGCCCTAATTATCTGTGGAGCTGATGGATTTGTGACAGGCCCTAACGATTAATGCTGACAAATTCAGTAAGGTGTCAAGTCCGCAGCTGCCTTGATGTAATCAAGTTGATATTATACAGTCCCTATAGCCTCTAGTGCAGCACCAACTCAATTTGCCTGTACAGGTGACAAATGGACTTTGCTACCTGACTAATCACGTCAGGAGACAATGCCAGTTAATGACCTTGCTGAGCCCCTGCCACCACGGCGGCCCCCACCAACACCGCCCCCACCACCACCACTCTTATAACCTTGTAATAAGAGTCAGGGCAGCCACGTCACATCACTACCTTTCCCTCGTTTTCTCTCTTTTCATATACGTGTAAAAAAGCATCCTCCTGTTCCTGTGGAGCCCGCTTTCAACTGTAGTTACTCTTTTCTACCAGGCAACATTTTTACCCAGAGTTCCATCTTGGTCTCAGCTGAAATGTTAAAGTAGTGGATCCCCCCCCCCACCCCCTTTTTTTTAAAAGCGTTTGACGAGATTTATTTATTTTTATATTAATGACGCAGTTACAGGCCTGCTCTAACCACTTGATATATCAGCACTCAGAGTCATCCGTGGAACCATTTTTAAGAGGCAGACATTCTGCTGAAGTTTTTACACTTTTGCATGTGTTATGGGCTGGCTACTAAATCAGCTCCATATCATAACACAGTCTCCACGCACTTTGGCTGGGCGTCCTCTTAACTCACTGCCTGTAGTCGCCTCGTTGAAGGCCTCCTCTTTATTTCAATGTGGAGAATCACAGTGTCCAGGGATTAATTATTTTTGTATGCCTGGGATATCTAAGATTACACAGCCAACTGCTTTTAATGTTACAAGAGTTTCTCCCTTCAAAATAATAGCATGCTGAGATTCACGTTTTTGGACGACAGTGCACGGCCTCTATTTGCAATGTGTTTACTTTTAACGTTTTAAATTGTTAATAACAGCCAGCTTTTTGTGAATCCAAACAACTTTTTGTTTAAAAAAAAAGAAGAAAAAAAAGTCGATTTCTTTAGAAAATGTTCAGGCGACTCTTAGATCCTGATGTTTTAATGACTTTACAGATTCTGCGGAAAAATTATTCATGTTTTAAATGTGATGAATACCGTGTGTGTGTGTGTGTGAGAGAGAGTTGGTGAGCGAGTGTGTGAGATAGCAGGAGAGGGAAGTGGATACAGAGGAGGAAAGGGAGAGTGTGTGTATGTGTATGTGTGTGTGTGTGCTTTTAGCTTAGCGCTGACCAGTGTTAGATTTCCTGGAATGAATAACTTGAAGGAGTGTAACGGTAACCACGCCATGTTAGTCATCCTCTTTAGCAGGCCTGCCTTCTGATCCTCTCTCTGTTTCCCCCCACAGGAGCAGGAAAGCTGCTTCTAAACAGCCGCTCCACATATTTCTCACTGCTGACTGTCAAATCTGTTCAGCCTTCTCTATCAAACTGAGGGATATCAGACAGTGCAGGAACACATATTGATCCACCGCAGCCTGTTTTACCCCCCCTCACACACACACACACTCCCCCCCTTCAGTTAGACTCTATGCTTCCAGTGTGTTCCTTCGGTGTGCGGTGTGTGTGTGTGTGTGTGTTTGTACTCAGCTAGAGGTTACGCTAATTGGAGTGGCGGCGTCGTCGTTAGCAGGTGGCATCGATCGACCTCGTCGATGGCCACTTTTGCTCCTGCGCCACCCTCCGAAACTAATAGTTAAATTTACATCTGGGACTTGAGCCAGTCAAAGGTCAGACATGCTCAGCTTGCTCTGCTAATGCTTCAAGTCACCACAAGTGCTCCTGTGTGTGCCTGGGTGTCTGTGCGTAAGTGTGTGAGTGTGTGTGTGTGTGTATCCTCGGGCGAGCTTTGTGCATTACTTCCATTTATTCTGGTTACAGAAATTAAAATTAAATTCCCTTTTCTTCTAGGGCTGCATAAAATAAAACAAACACAAAATCAGTCTTTAGTTTAGCTTTTTTTTTAATTGAGTAAATTATGTATCTGAAAATGAATGGTGCTAACCAGGTATAAGCTGCATGTGTGAAGCTATTCATATCTCTTATACATTAGTACATACCTGCTTTCACACCACGGCTGGAACTAATGCTGTTCCCTGTCTCTTTTCACATTTTTTTCTGGGGCATATTCAACATAAGCCTTTAGGGCAAACCCCCTGACACACACACACACACACATAGTCAACCATAACCGTAGACAATCAGACCAACACACAGACACACACCTACAGCTAATGTTTAAGTGCAGCCAGCATGTCTCAGTGGGAGGTCATAATGGAGGTGGCTTAGTGTGATGGGAAATCATATCATTAAAGCAGCCAGATGTGCTTTGTTGCCTGTCTTGCTGAACATAAAAACAGCAGCAAGTCATGGGATCCAAAAAATTAAAAGGAAGGGGGAAAACAAGTCTGAAACAGATAGCAAGCTCTCCTGTAGGACTGGACCGACACAGTTTAAAATAAATACATTAAAAAAATCTTGCGAATTTCTTGCGAGCGACACTTGTTTTTTTTTTTCATAAAATATAAATTAGACTAAAAGATTTAAATAAATGTTTAGTGTGTTTGATTACTATGTAATAATTGTGTAGTGTTGAGTAATTACACTTTGTTACTGCTCCGCGGCTAGTAATGTAAGGCTAAGCAGGTCATTAATGAAAAACTGTTGCTATGGTGCTTTTCTGTTTTTCCTCCCACATAATCGCGAGACGTGAGAGGAAATAAGAGGGGAACCGTTCAAGAGGAGCAGTCTTGCAGCATTTAGGACAAAAAAATTGACATCTGAAATTTTCTTAAGTGTTACATTTGCTGAGGGTAAATATTTCGCTCTTGATCAGTGCCGTGCCTCCTCGTGAGGGTAAGAGGAGAGTCTGCTGGAGCCAAATTTAACATGTTACTTCTATCAATAAAAGATGAGCAATTACAGAATATTTTGTCTAATAAGTATTTGAATTCCTCAGCGCAGGAAAAAATACACATGTAGTTTACTGATTACATCAGTTAGCAGGGGGAGTGAGAGGCAGCTCTTTGATGCCAACAAACAAACAAGGCAGTCGAGAAGGGCCCACTGCAGAGGAGTAGAAGATCTGTCCAGGGACCACCAACCCCTGCACAGTCCCCGCTCTCCCCCACCTCCCCTCCATTCACTCACATATGCATCTTAATTCTCTTGTTTTCTGATCATTTTCATTTGTTTTTATTTCTTTAAATTTCCCTTTACTTTTTGAATATTTACATTTTTTGTCACCGTCGAGATCAGAAAAACATTTTGCAGTGTGGTGATGATACGTGAGGTGATGGAGAGACAAAAAAATGTTTGTTGGTTATAACTCAAATAAAGTCAAGTGAAAATTATTCCATAGAAATGAGAGCTGAAAGAGAATTGTGTGAAGGACAAAGTAAACGACTCTATCTGTGAACTTGAGGGGTTTGTGAAGGTATTTTTAGACAAATCCTGAGTCATCTCGACCGGGATTCTAGAAAATGAACAGCATTGACAGAAGAGGAAAGGAGGGACATTTGAGGACTGCAGTCGGCACTAATATACAGTCAGATTAACAAAACAGAATGGTGTCTGTGTGTGTGGATGTGCAGTGAAGAGGGGAGAAGAATTATGGCATGGAATCAGTGTGTTGTGTGTGTTTGTGTGTGTGTGTGTGTGTGTAGATGTGTTTAGGACTTTTAGGACGGGTATTAGAGCTGACAGATGAACGGGACCATGGACAAATTCTCCCACAACAGCTGTGACTGGCGCCATTATCCTGACAGGTGTCAATTAAGAATTACTGCCCGGCCGGCCGAATGCCCCTCCTGACTCTCGCACATGTCCCTCCATCCCTCCATCCGTACAACGCGCTGATGCCCTCCTCCCCCTGGTCCAGCTGTCGGCATACGAGAGAAATAACACTTTACCCTTGTCGGTGTTGTCACGGGCCCAGCGGTCCCGTGTCTTTTCCTCTGCCGCTCGTTCAAACGGCTACCTGCAGAACACTGTGATCAATAGATCAATGCAGCTGTGTTCATGTCAGAAAACGTGCAGACCATAATCATCTGTTGTTGTTTCACAGATTTAGGCTGGTGTTCGATGTGATCTGTGACTGCATTCTACAGGTAGAGAGATTACAGCCGTGCTGTTTGTTTGGGTGCATGCACACACAGTGTGATATATATCCGTGTGTGTGTGTGTGTGTGTTAAGCTCCTGTAAAGTAGGATCTCCACTATGCCCGGATGTTGGATTCTAATTCCGCCCTGTTAAGTGGAGAACTGAGGTCAATGAGTGAGAAAATGAACAGTTGCCACTGCCCATCTCTGAGGCTGCTGCTCTTCACTAAACCACATGCTGATAAACACATTGTGCGGTCAGCAGATTTGCTGCTGGCTTTAGAGCTGAGAAAAAGTGGAGAGAAAAAAAAAGCGTCGTTTTAGTTCTGGGGAGAGACGTAACAATATTCTCTGTAATAAAAAAACTTTTTTAATAACATTTGTAATTATATAGCCCATAGCTGCGCTGTATATACATGTCATTTATGTCAACGTCAGGTGTAACTGTTGACAATGTGTAGTTATTATTTGGCTTCAACATTGACAGAAGAGGAAAGGAGGGACATTTGAGGACTGCAGTCGGCACTAATATACAGTCAGATTAACAAAACAGAATGGTGTCTGTGTGTGTGGATGTGCAGTGAAGAGGGGAGAAGAATTATGGCATGGAATCAGTGTGTTGTGTGTGTTTGTGTGTGTGTGTGTGTGTGTAGATGTGTTTAGGACTTTTAGGACGGGTATTAGAGCTGACAGATGAACGGGACCATGGACAAATTCTCCCACAACAGCTGTGACTGGCGCCATTATCCTGACAGGTGTCAATTAAGAATTACTGCCCGGCCGGCCGAATGCCCCTCCTGACTCTCGCACATGTCCCTCCATCCCTCCATCCGTACAACGCGCTGATGCCCTCCTCCCCCTGGTCCAGCTGTCGGCATACGAGAGAAATAACACTTTACCCTTGTCGGTGTTGTCACGGGCCCAGCGGTCCCGTGTCTTTTCCTCTGCCGCTCGTTCAAACGGCTACCTGCAGAACACTGTGATCAATAGATCAATGCAGCTGTGTTCATGTCAGAAAACGTGCAGACCATAATCATCTGTTGTTGTTTCACAGATTTAGGCTGGTGTTCGATGTGATCTGTGACTGCATTCTACAGGTAGAGAGATTACAGCCGTGCTGTTTGTTTGGGTGCATGCACACACAGTGTGATATATATCCGTGTGTGTGTGTGTGTGTGTTAAGCTCCTGTAAAGTAGGATCTCCACTATGCCCGGATGTTGGATTCTAATTCCGCCCTGTTAAGTGGAGAACTGAGGTCAATGAGTGAGAAAATGAACAGTTGCCACTGCCCATCTCTGAGGCTGCTGCTCTTCACTAAACCACATGCTGATAAACACATTGTGCGGTCAGCAGATTTGCTGCTGGCTTTAGAGCTGAGAAAAAGTGGAGAGAAAAAAAAATGCGTGCAGTCGTTTTAGTTCTGGGGAGAGACGTAACAATATTCTCTGTAATAAAAAAACTTTTTTAATAACATTTGTAATTATATAGCCCATAGCTGCGCTGTATATACATGTCATTTATGTCAACGTCAGGTGTAACTGTTGACAATGTGTAGTTATTATTTGGCTTCAATAATGAATGCGACCCACTGCCGCTGTAGGAAAAAGAAAAAGGAAAAAAAAAAAACAGGCGACAGATCAGAGTGAAGAAGGAAACAAAAACAGCAAAGTGAGCGTGAGCGCAGCGAGCTCCCCAGGAATACACAAATGGATTTGCATGTTCACTTCATAGTTACAGTTTTGGATTTCCTCCCTAGAAATCATTCGCCACAGAAGAAGCATGGAAGATATTATCAGTGTTATTTCACTATTTCTGCTGTGAAGTATTTGCATATCTCTTGTTTTAAATAAGGCAACCCGATTTGGTTTGTTTTCCTGAGCTTCTTCACTCCCCATCACTTTTTATCCTCCTCTCTCATCACAGAGCCAAACCTCAGGTTTCTCCACTTTCTCTCTCTTTTTTTTTATTGCGTATCTTCAGGCAGACCCTCCTCCTCCCCCCTTTTCTGTCTCACACTGGCACTCTATTGCTTGGAGCTGGGTTATCAAACCTGAAAATATTTTCCATTCCATGCAAATCACCCACCATGCTCTCTTATCATTTCTGCTTTGCCCCTCCGTCCCAAATGGTTGTGTGTAATCAAAGTAAACGGCGGCTATAGCAAAAAGGGAAACGCTCTGTGTGGAGATGGATGGAGGGATTAAATATTAACTGGATGCGGCTGACTTAAGGCAAGTGTTTTACATAGCAGCTCCTGCCGTGCGGATGCTGCACATTGATCCCTCTCGCCCTGGTGCCTTTACTTGTTTGGCTGTCTGCTGTTAATTTTTCACCATCATCTCACTGACCAGGCCTTTGGAACAGAGAGGGAGAGAGAGAGAGGAAGAGAGAGAGAGAGAGAGGCCAATGAGTGCCTCCCACACCCCACCCTCCCCTGTGCTGTTTACAGGGGCAGGTGAGATGGATGATAGCAATTTGAAATTTTGTTTGTGTGTGTGATCATGGAGATTGTTTTTGGTATTACCATGGCGTAACCATCGCAGTGATTAATTGATGCAAGAATCTCAGGAATCAGTGGCAGAAACGGAGGTTGCAGGTTCTGCTCCTACCTCCTCCACCTCCTCATTTTTATTTTTTGTGTGAATATGGTGTTTATCGGCTGACCTTGGAGTCTGACACTGCCGCCTTCTTAAATACACACACACTTGTGCGCTTGCAACAACACACTCCCAGGATCCTGGCCGTACACACTAACTCCCTTGTCATGTCACTTCCTTCATTTCCTCATGCCTCCTTCTTCCTCTGCTCCCGCTGTGATTAAAAGAGAAAATCAGACCGCACAAACCAAACCTCGGTCCAAAAAGGAGACTAAACAAAAACAAAATGGCCACAGTGGCTGCACTATCCATGTAGTCGGACATTAGTGGCAGGAATGTGCTTTCATTCGCCGCCCGTTTTCAATGTGTTTGTTGTCTGTGTGTGTAAAGCCATATCCTGTGGGTCACAGAGACAGCTTGTTAACAGGGGGGCTCATAGCAGTGGTGGTTACCCCCTCCCCCCCCCCCCCCCCTCCAGAAAAACCACACATACACACAGTTGTTGCACTGCTGCTGTTGACGGCATTGTGAGGGCCTCCCGGCGTTTATAAATGCAGCGTCGTTCCAGCGGCGGAGCTCTACCCTGCAGTCGTCAGACATGGCCACAACTCATCACTCAGCCCTAATGATGACCCCCTACACACACACACAAACACTCAGGAACACACACACACACTACCCCCCCACAGCCACAGCGCACATCTGACAGGGTCGTATGCAGTTCGTGACCCCCAGGTGGCCGCAGTCTGGCCGATTCCTGCACTCCTCTACATGTTTTTATTTCTCTGCTCTCTCTCCCTCTCTCTCTCTCCCTGCCTCTCAGGCTGACTTTACATTCCATCTAGGTTCAAACGGTTATGAGCTTTTTACAGCGTGTATCAGTGTGTTTCTGCTGGAAGGTGCAAATAGCTGATATTTATAATGCTGCCTGCTTTTAAATCAATGCTGTTATGCCACCGAACATTCCATCTACTTTGTGCTGCGACCTGAAGTAAAATGCTAACATTTTATAAAGAGAAAAATAATCACAAGAGTAATGACACTGAACACTGTCGTGTAGCGAGCAGTTGTTTAGAGAAATAAAATCTGATTAGAGATTAGAGATGGACATTTATTTTGGGATAATTTATTGACTGTAATCGATAAAAACTAAACATTCCTGTAGATGGTTTTTTGTCACTTAACGATAATGATATCCGTAAAGTTTCCTTTTGTTCGTGAAACCCGACACATTCGGTTTACTTTTATCGAGGAGCGGCGAGGCCAGAACATGTTCACGAAAAGGAAAAATATGTATCAGATTACACAGAGAGAGAGAGAGAGAGCGAGGATTGTGTTTTAAATCAGATCTTCAGACTAACTTTTTTCTCTCCTCCGGTATCACTAGTGCTCCCATCTGAAACATTAAGGGAGCGCAAGCACAAAATGTAAGAGCTCCACATAAATCCTCATCATGCACTGCAGCACAATCAGACACTGTCTGAAGTGCATTACTGACGAATTATTTTGCGTTATACTGACTCTGTATTGAAATAACAATGAACCGAGCTGCTCTGGTATCCACTACAAGTAAAAACTGACAAAGGACATGCCTTAAATTTGCACTAGTGCGCTGAAAAATTGTACGCGCCGGCTCCAAAAGCGGGGACCAAACGCAACTAAATGGCTCCAGTCTGGAACCCTGTAATGAATGGCAAAGAAATTAATATGTCTCATCCTCCTGGCTCTTTACCAACTTCTCCTCCTTTTTTATGTTGTTTCCTTTTTTTCCCTCCTCTCTCTGTGTCTTTCTCTGTCTCTTGCTCTTTTGCTCTCCTTTAGTCAAAGTAGCACCGGTCCCCATAGCAACACATAGTGATCTCTTCTCATTAGTGTGTATGCGGTCCCGTTGAACCGTTTGAATCCTGCTCCTGTAGTTTTATGCCACAGAGTTTACAACAGCAACTCTGTGAAGGACATTAATATAATGGAGATCCCGAGTTCCTCAAAAGTCGAATCTGGTGCCAACATTTCACCCAGTCTAGTCACTAGACTTTCAGTCGGAAATGTTAATGTAGCTTTACTTCACAGAAATAGTCTGCTAGTTTATAATGCATTTTTTGCTATAAAAATCTCACATGTTTAGGGTAATGAAGAACTTACAAAACAAATAATATTTTTTCTTGAAAAAGAGTTAAAAACTTTGGTTGAAAAGTGTTTTGTGTGAAGACCAGAGGTGGCGTTATCTTCCTGCCTGATTATCCTAAATTTTTTCTCGTGAGCCACTTTTGGCTCACAATCCTTATTTTGAAAACACTGTTTCTATTTGTTTGTGTTTTAGCAGTGAGTGGACGTTATTTCATCCAAAGGATCAAAAGGTGACACGGACAGTGTTGGTCTCTTGGTCACAGCTGAGTCACACTTGGCTTTTCCTGAATTTTAATTTAATTTCACTTGTTGCTCCTAAGTCTCCAGAGCGCTGATAAAGGGTCACTGGTGGAGGGAGAAATGAGAGGTGAGGTGGGAACAAATGAGGGAGTGAGCGGCAGCAGAAGGGAGAGAAAGAAACTAGGATATGATGAAAAATGGAGTGTAAGAGAGAGTGCATGGAAGTGGGAAAGGGAGGAAGAGAGAAAGAGAAGAAGAAGAGAGAGAGAGAGAGAGAGAGATTGGTGTTCTCTATGCTGGCTCACCCATTGCGTGGGTGGCGCCTGGAATGGAGGGGTCAATGAGATGCCGTGATAGGCTAATCTGCCAGGAAGGGAGGGTTAGGGCAGGCCTCCTGGGAGCAGCTCATTGGCTAGACTTATTTGCCCTGTGAAATAAAATCTCATTGAATCTTTGTTTTCATTTTTTTCCACCGTTTGAAGATTGATAGTGTGGGTATTTGCTCTGAAATCTCTTTCTTGGAGTGTGAATATTTATCTGCCTGTATCTGTGCTGTGTACCCGCATATCTGTGTGTGTGTGTGTGTGTGTGTGTGTGTGGCATACTTTTCTTAGTTCATCTCGGTTCCTGTGGGAGTGTGTGCGCGTATGCGCACTGTTTCCAGAGCTGTGTGTACTCGTCCTCCAGTCAGACACATGGATGACAGATGACCCAGTGGGAGACACCAGCCATCCTGCCCAACCGGAATCTTTCCCCCCACCAACTCTCTACCTGCCCCCTGCCTTTTGCCTACGAAAAAAGTGCATACTTTGTTTACTTCCTCGGCTCTTTGCCATAAATCCTGAATCCAGCTCAGATGTAGCTTTGCCCCCTTTTCCTCGGGTTATGGCTTTGTACACGATGGTAATCGCTACGTCACCGTGAACGTGTGTTTTTGTGTGTGAGTGTTTTGTTTTGTTTTTTGTTGGAGTATGAATGTGTGTGCGCATGTGGGAGAACATGTCTGTCTTTTGCTTACTGGACCAGAGGAAACCTAAATCCTCATATAAAAGGCCATGCACTCAGCCTGGGCCAAGGGAAGGAGGGAGGGAGAGGGAGGAGAAGATAGAGGGAGACAGAAAGAGAGAGGGGTGAAAGAGAGAGAGGGGAGAGAGAGAGAGAAGGGAAAAAAGTTGATTTCCTTTTTCAGCAGAGCCATACATCACAGGGCCTCCCAGCTGCAGTGTCACAAGCTGACAGAATGACATGTGTCATTTATCAAAGGGGCCAGGCGGGGGCCTTGGGAAACGTGCACCACAAAGCCTGAGAGAGTTCATTCCAACGCTCAACCCTCCCTCCCTCCCTCCCTCCCTCTTTCCTTCCCTCGCTCACTCCCTCCTTCTCTCACTCACTCTTCCCCACTCCTTTGGCCCGCCCCCGCTGTTCACTCACTCTCCTGGTTTGCTCTCCCCTCTCTCTCTCTCTCTTCACCCCCCCTCCAAAACCACCTCCACCCTCCCATCTCACTTCGCTTGGTGCCAAAAAACCCCAGTGAGTGCAGGCAGTTGCTTTACCTTAAAGCCAAAGTCACTCTCAACTTTGAAGAAGTAAATCACATTAAAAGTTCATTTAAACTCAGTGTTTCCTGTGAGCTACTCCCTCAACAGTCTCCAAGGATTTTTCATTATTAATAATTATTGTACTTTACACCATAAATTATGATATTGAAACGTACTTAATGTAACATCTTGACACGTTTACTGCCCTTAAGTGAATGCTATTGATTATTTTTACTAGCGTTATTTTATTATTTATATGCAAACACACACACACTCTTCACTCCTTGCTACTGAAGAGTGGCTCAACAAAGAGATTACAGCTCTCCTGGCTGCTCGGGCCCCAGCCAAAGGTCCGCGGGGTCACAGCACTGAAAGCTAGGGGCCCGTTTAAGAACACATTACGTTGCAGAACAGCTTGTACATGGGAGCGCCTGTTGTAACCAATCTGTCAGTTACAATAGCAAGCTGTGTCAGTCTCGTCATGGCGCGCTATATCTGCAACTTTTTGTGTTCACATCTTACCTCGCCGCACGCACTCCATTCCCAGCTTCCTCTCATCCATCATTGGCTCACCTTTCATCTCCGACCCTCATCTACCCCCATAATCAGCCCCTGCCGGGGTTAACTCCATCTCAACCACTTCTAGAATCCATAAACTATCTCACCTGTGTGCACCTCCGTTCTTTCGCCGCGAGCATGCAGTGCACACATTTAACTGAATCTGCAGCTCTGTTTTTTTACATAAAAAAGTTAATTCATTTATCATTATTTTTGTAGAATATTATGCAATCTTTTTAGCACAAGTATTTTGTAAGTAACATAAACTAATTGTGAAATCGTGCCTTGACCTGCAACTGTGTTGACTATGAACACACACTTTAAAAGGTGGCAGTAATTCAATTGAATTGTTCTGCAACTGGGGGTAATTATTAATGCTTATTGAAAATAAGTATTATAAAATATTATTATAACAATTTTGCAAGCTAAAATTTTCCCATTACTTATGGACCAATGACTATGATTTACACTACAGTCTGTTGTCCCCATCTCATGATGCAATCACATCTGGACTGCAGGCAGGTCAGTCAAGTATTCTTATAAAGCCACATATTTGTAGTTCATACAGGACGAAGCCTGGAGACCTAAAGAAAAACAAACTTTTGACGTACTCCATATGGTTTGATTTTTTTTAATACTAGTCCGGGTGGTTATTTTCATCGTTGACAAAAAAAAAAAAAAAATCTGTTAAATGCTAAATGCTGCATGAAACATGAACTCTTCAGCTGCCAATATGTCCCTGCAGTATCAGTGACTCCAGAAAGTGTCATCATTATGTTAACATCATTATTAAATTTACAGTTGTTTTAAGAAGTTCAGCACCAAGTTTGTTTTTGTCTGTCCTTGTTTGGAAGCTCCAGTCGGAGTCTGTCAGCAGAAAAACTGTTAATTAACATTGTGGTTAATTCATTATTATGACCTTTTCTTGTTTTACCTTTGTCTTAACTTTAGGACTATGTTGCAGACATCAATTTCCAATTTAGTCTCTGTTTAGCAACTAGAATTAAAGTTGTCAGTCAAAACAGTGAAAATCAATTCCCTGTCCTTTTCCCTGTTGGATGAAGGTTAAAGTTATGTGTTAAACTATGGATTTAAGTTCTTTTGTCAACTTTTCTGAAACATACAATCTTTCTGCACCTTGAAAGACAGAACGACTGTGTTTACATGTTTTTTAGTTGTGGTTTCAGTAAAAGACTAAAGACGGTAAAAGTTTCCTTCCAGGCAAGTCCCAGTAGATCAGACAACCTGAAGAGCAGCAGTGAAACTCTGGCTGAAAGTCTCTGTTAAATAATTAAAAATCCAACTCCGGGCAGAGTGAGGTGGCGGTGCAGTCAGAGAGGGAGAGTGTGAGCAAGGTGGGCGGCGGGAGAAAATAAAGGACAAAGAAGTGGGGGGGCTTCTGACAGTATTATGTTTCCTTGCTTTGTCTGCAGGGGTTAAAAGACGTGGTACGTCATTAAGAAGAATATTCAGCGGTGGTGTCACTGAGGCGTGACCTTTCCAACAGGTCATAGATAGTTCACTCTTTAACCCCCCCCCCTGCCCCCCCCCCAGCCCATCTAGATACCACCACCCATGCCTGTGTACATAAAGACATAGGTTTGACATCAGGGCTTAAATCGACTCACTGGTCATTTTGATATCTCTTTTCTTTTTTCTCTTTTTCATTAAAAGGGGTCATCAGCAGTGCAGGCTTTTAAATGATCCCAACGAACAGACAAGGTTATCTCTGGCATGACAAAACATTTCTGCAGTGAATGAAAGGCTCAGCTTTCATGTGCAGCTCACTGACGTGTGTATTCAACAACATTGGTGTTTATATCAGGA